GACGTAGCATAGGATGAACCAGTTTGCAACCATTAAGAACAAGTGTGGGATGCTGAGAGCACATGAGAAGGTGAGAGTCAGTGATGGGGAAACGCAAATTGAAACCACAACGAGACACACCACGTCGCATCCACTAGGATGACTTATCATAAAAAAAAATAAAAATAAAAAAACAGAAAAGAAGCAGTGTTGGCAAGGGTGTGGAGAAATTGGAACCCTTGTCCATCGCTGCTGGGAATATAAAAGGTGCAGCTTCAGTGGAACAGTTTGGTGCTTCCTCCCAAAGTTAAACTTGGAGTTCCCATAGGACCCAGCAATTCCGCTCCGAGGCATCTACCCCAAAAAATTGAACACAGAGACTCAAATAAGTCCATGCCCCCCAGTGTTCACAGCAGCAGCATGCACAATGGCCAACAGGTGGAAACAACCCAGGTGTCCATCAGGGGATGATGGATAAACACGTGGTCCATCCACACGGGGGACCATCACTCAGCCAGGGAAAGGAATGAAGAACCGACGAGAGGGTCCGCGTGAAGTCAGGAGGCCTAGCAACGTGGGAGAACCTTGAGAAAAGCCCTGCTGAGTGACGGGAGCCAGACACAGCAGCCCACACGATGTGGGAGTCCATTTATATAAAATTTCCCCCACGGGCAGATCTGTACGCAGCCGGCAGGTGAGCGGTTGCCAAGGGCTTGGTGGCGGCGGGTGGGGAGAGAGTGCGCGACGGGGGGCATTATTTTGGAGTGATGCAAATATTTTAGAACTAGGTAGAGGTGGTGCTTGCACAACACTGTGACTGTACTTTATGCCACTGAATTGTTCACTTTAAAATGGTTAATTTCATGTCATGTGAATTTTACCTCAATCAATTAAAAAAAAAAAAAAGGCAGCCTGGGGAACAGCCTGTTACTGTCTGCACCACCCACACACCCTTCCCATCACCTGCTCCACATCCGTGTTGCATCGCGCGTCCCTGCCCCCCACCTGGGACAGGTGTCAGTGTCTGACTCAAAGGGGCCCCTCTCCTGATCGGTGTGAGAGGATCGGAAACGCGGTCGGGGCCAGGCAGGAGCTGTGTGCGGGCGGCCTGGGCGAGTCAGAAGGCCCCTCGGGGCCCGGGTTTGGGTGGCCATTGGGGGCAAGGGCAACGGGAGACAGAGGACAGGAGCAGCCACCCCAAGGGAGGTCAGAGCGCCCCGAGAGAGGCCCGTGTCCCCCCAGCCTCCCGATGGCCCCTGCCAGCCCCCAGGGGCTCGGCTGACTTCCCAGCCACGCTCCTCCCCTTCCGCAGGGACCTGTGAGCCCTGATGCCGGGCAGCACTGTGCCTGCTGCCTAAAGCCACAGACGTGATGGAAGTCCCTGAATGCATTTATCCAGAAAGCCGTGATTACATGCATATGCATGTACATAGGAAAGTCATTGGTCAGCGCTGAAGGCTGTTGGAAATCCAACTTGGAAAACTCGTCAAGAGGGAGAATCAAGTATCTACCCTGCCTTTCCTGTTGGAGCCTAGGACTTGGGGTAACCAAATAGCGACCACAGGGAAGCCTGCAGCGCACGCGAGGCAGGGAGGGCAGCTGGGGCGACATCATTTTGCACCACTTGTGAATGAAGGAATGAATGAAGGAACGAATGAAGGAATGAATGAATGGTGCTGACAGCGCCAGCCATCACATGCCGCCTCGTGGACACACACAACCCCACCGTGGGGTGTTCTCCCCGAAGTGGGTCGCACTGATGTGCAGCGAGCCTGCAGATCTGACCGCCCCTTTCCAGGGAGAACAGGGAGCAGAAGGTGGTGTTCACACCACCACGGGGTGCAACCCGCAACCGCCACACCGTGGAACCTCTATAGAAGGTGTTTCTGGACCAACAGCAAGAAGAAGAAGAAAAGGAAGGGGAAAATTTAACGATTAAAATACACTTAAGAGACCTCTCAACCACTTGCAACATGTGGACCCTACTCAGATTCTGATTCCAATAAACAAGGTGAAAAAAACTGGGGAGGTAACAAGAAACTGGAATACCCACTGAAGATCGGGCAATGTTAGGAATTAATCTTGAATTTGGGGTATTGTGGGTTTTTTTTAAAGAGTCGTTCTTTGGAACACATTTTGAAATTATTTATGTATGAAACAATATGATGTCTTGAATGTGCTTCAAAATTCCCAGTGTGGGTGTGTGTGTGTGGGGGGGGTAGGGATGGCGCAGGATCGGCTGTGAGTTGGCGACTCTGAAGCTGGCTGCTGGGGACATGGTGTTACACTATTCTCTCTACCACTGGGTGTGAATGCTTCCATAATAGAGAACTTCTTGAATCCATCCCCAAAATTCTCAACAACCCAAGGTCCCACACCACGGGACTGGTTAAATTATGGCCCCGCTCTCTGACGGAATACTATGCAGCGATGAAAAAGGATGGTCTCCAACAACATTTGCTGATGCAGAACACTGAACACTATAGTGAATTCTATACCAGTAACTTGTCCAGGAATTAGGGTACATCGGGAATCTGAGGAGGCAAATCAGTCGCACAAATGATAGAAGGCAAAACGGACGTGATTACTATCTGGGAGGCTCTGGAAGAGCCACAGGAAAGAGGAGGGCGGCGGGGACGAGCTAGCGGGAGCTGGATCTCGTCACTCGGAAAAGCGCGTCGTGAAAACAAAGTTACACCTTCTTGGTCGACGTGTTGCTGGTGAGGATACGATACGTGTCTACACAAATCGTGTTAAGGGCAGCCTGTGGACACAACAGATGTGAACGTCAAGCCAACGAGGGTGAAACATTTTAAACATCTCTTTTCTTAGCGCTGAGTCTCCAAAAGAAAAAAAATAAATGATTTCTATAAATTGTCCATTAAAAAAAACAAAAACACGCGAACAGCATATGGTTCTGAACTCATTGTTGCCGCGGGAAATACATACACAGATATTTTCACAGAAAGCTGTGAGAAACAACAAAGAGTGTTAAATAAATTAATGACACCATCTGACTTTTTCTTGGGGGGACAGGACGGGCCTCCTAAACAGAGGATTCGCACATCTCCGTGAGTTAGATAAGAGTCCACCCACCATGCTGTACACCTGAGACGAACAGCCAGCACGCGCACGCAGCCTGTGTCCACCAGATGGCGTGTACGAGTGTTCATGGCTGGACAGGACCTCGGGGGTCATCCACTCCCTCCCCCGCCCACATGGGGACTCACAGGGAAGGCCGAGCAGACGTAGGCGAGGACGAGAAGGAAGCCAGGAGGACAGTCGTCCGCCGCAGCAGAGGCCTCTGGCTGATCTGAAGGCCCTGCCTCGGAGGCCGCCCCCATCCGCTGTGCCCGCACCGGGCAGACCCCACGTTGGGCAGGCACTTCTCTGCCAACCCTCGGCGTCCTGTGGCTGGGATTCCTCCCTCCCCCCGCCGCAGGCCCCAGGTCCCCCTTGACTCACCCCAGCTCTGGGCGTGGACTATACCAGCCCGTCGTAGAGGGACAGCGCCTGCACGATAGAGGGGTCGGCCTTGGACCCCTCCTGGAACTCCTGCAGCGTCAGCTTCCCGTCGGCGTTCTGCAAGCAGAGAGGCAGCGGCTTAGCTGGAGGAACAGCCAGCCTCCGAGGACAGGCGCGGGCCTGGCCCCTGGCCCAGGGCTGGTCCCAAGAGAGCTCCCCCAGCGCGTCAGGAGGAGGCAGCGCAGCGCCAGGTGAGAAGAGTCAGGAGTCAGACCGACGTTTCCTGGCTGGCCACCCCGAGCCTGGCTCTCTGGCCCCCTTCCTCATCGGGGACGAGAAGACTTGCTGGCCTCCGCGGGGCTTTGAGCTGGAGCTGGAGGCGCCCTGAATCCGTAGTCACCGTTATCGCTGCTGTAAATTCCCTACACGGTGGCTAACCCCAAAGGGCTGAGCGCCTGGTGCATTTCTCCGGTCACTCCTGGAGGGGCACTAGTGCTCCCTGGAGCGTCTGTCCTGGACCCCGGGGGCCCTGGGAGGAGGCCGGTGCAGCTCATGCACAGGGACTTAGGGGTGTCTGGGGAGGGGTGGTCTTGGCCAGTATCCCTTCCAGGAGACCTGTGAGCAGAGACCTCCGGGGGGAAAGCATGGTCGGGCGTCCCCCAGGCCAGCAGGTCATCCTCCCAGCTCGCCTGCCGTGTACCCGCATGTGCTAAGCTGTGTACCCGCATGTGCTAAGCGCACGGGCTGATCACATGGGATCCCCACGCCCGCCCCAAGAAGAGGCGTTGCTCTTACCCCCATTTTACTGTGAGGAAACTGAGGCTCGGTCACCTACCCAGAGTCCCCTGGATGGTAGCCGGGGAAGCCAGAATGAACACCCTGTCTGACTCCAGGGCAGGCTTGGCTTCCCCGAATAAGGGAAGGATGACCTGGAGATTTAAGGGGCCTCAGCACTGACTTCCACTGGCCCACCTGTGAGGAAGCGGGCGCTCCTTGCTCCCCACTCTGCACACATGTTTTCATTATTATCAGACAGCAGCGGAGCCCCAGCCCGCATGTCCTGACCCCGCTCTGCTGCGAGCTAACCTCTCCCCTTTAAAAAAAAATGTTTTTATTTATTTGGGAGAGGAAGGGAGAGGAATAGAGAGAGAGAAATAGCCATTGGCTGCCTCCTGCATGCCCCTACTGGGGACTAAGCTTGCAACCCAGGCTTATGCCCTGACCAGGAATCGAACCAGAGACCTCTTGGTTCATGGGTCGACGCTCAACCACTGAGCCACACTGGCGGGCTCATCGCCCTTTTTAAATGCAGGAAGCACAGGCCTCAGGCCCAGAGCTTCAGGCCAGCGCCTGTCTCCAGCCGGCAGCCGGCGGCGTGTCACAATGAGCCCGATGTCCCTGTAACTAATATTCTTTCACTGAAGGCAAGCGGACGCTGGGCTTCCCGGCCGCCCTGATATCAGACCCTCATTTAAAGCAACGTTGTTGCAGGTCAAAGGAAGTTTGATGTAAAGCGTTTCTTAACCTGGGGCCCGTGGACAGAATCCAGCAGGTCTGTGAGCTCAGATGGGAAAGATGAGGTTGTTCTTTTCACCACCCTCTCCCTGAAATTCAGCTTTTCCTCCCAGGACGAACCTGGGTGAGGGTCCCCATCCGAAGCAGCAGTACCTGTGACCTTGCCAACTGTGGAGGTCACGGGAAGGTCATAACACGCCATGGCTACTACAGGCAGCATATACATGTATCATTGCTTCAAAGATGTGGGGTGGCTAGGCCCAACGCAATAGCTCATTACTAATGTGTTCATAAAGAGGCCCCTAGAATACTACATCGCAGGGTCTTCTTAAAACATGTTGACGGCTGTATTCCAGAACAATCCGCTTCCTGGGTGACCCTATGCATTTATTTGATGACCACAGGCTTCTCCAGATGCCAAAAGGTCGGCGGCACAAATAACAGCGGGCTGAGAATCGTGGTTTATGGGAAGAAAAACTCTTCGGCAACTTACTTAAAACAGAGGCTTGACGGGGATGGGCTGCCCACCAGACAACTGGACACCTCCCCAGGCCGTGCCGCCGGCCTGAGCCAGGCCACGGGTGGTCAGTGGACCTGTGGGGACCCAGGGCCTGGCCCCCAGCTGTCCACCCCCCTCCCCAGTCAGTCCCGCTTCCCCCACGGCCTCACCTTGTCCATCATGGCGAAGATCCGGTCCACCCTCTTCTCGGGGGTGTTCTCCTCCTCCGGGAGCTCCACGGTGTTCCCCTGCCGGGGACGGACAAGGGGGGGCTGGGCTCCTGCGCTCTAGGCTTTGGCGTTGGGCCGAACATTTGCCCCGCAGACCTGGGCTGGTTCCCGGTGCGGACGGCCCCTCCCTCTCACGCCCAGCGCGCCCTCCCTCTCTGCCATTCTGCTGGAACACCCAGCCCCCACCTTTCTCCCAGGAGGGAGAGGTACGGAGTGGCCCCAGGCAGTGACTGACCCTCACCCGGCCAACTCACCCCCGCAGGAGAGCGGCCCCCCCCGGGTGGTCCCGGTGGGCCAAGCCGAGCCACTCAACTGGCTGCCCCCCAATCTCCTCAATCTCCTACCCACGGGACCCAGCGCTCTCACCACCATCTGGTAAATGGCGTCCACTATGTCCAGCATCTCGGTCCTGGTGATGTAGCCGTCGTTATCCAGGTCGTAGAGCTTGAAGGCCCCTGCAATCAACCAGCCAGGCGGGGTCACCAGGGCCCGGAGCAGGGGCAGCTCTGCTCCCGCCTCCCGCCCTCCGCACGCGATGGGGGCCCACAGCCATGCCTCACCCAGTCAGCGAATACTTCCATCAGGACCAACAGGCAGACACACACACACACACACACACACACGCACACGCACACGCACACGCACACGCACACGCACACGCACGCATCATTTCAACTAGGACTGGGAAGAAAGAAACTGGGAGTGAAAAGGAGGGGGCTTCGGCCAGTGCGAGGCCTTTAGGGCTGAAGCTGGGAGGGAGGACTGGCCCAGGAGGAGTCCTGAGGGCCCGCCCCAGCCTCTCCCATTCCAGTCCCTGTGGCCAATTCAGAAAATAAAACAATACGCCCAGGGGACAAGAAGCTTTTGCATGAATAAAATCCTCTTTTTTTATTTCTGTGGTTGTTAATCCTCACCTGAGGATATTTTTTCCATTGATTTTTAGAGAGAGTGGGAGAGAGGGAGGGAGGGAGAGATGTGGGGGGGGGGGGGGGAGAGAGAGAGAGAGAGAGAGGAAGACATCGATGTGAGAGATGCTCCCCTCGGCTTAGAACCTGCAACCCAGGTGCATGCCCTTGACCAGGAATGGAACCCGCAACCCTTTGGTGAGCACTCTGACCACTGAACTACCGGCCAGGCAATCCCCTTTTATCCTTAAAAAAAAAAAAAAACCAGAGAAAGAAACTGCAGGGTTTTCTCGCTGCTGAGACAACGCAATGCGAACGTCTTAGGGAGCAGTGAGCTCCAGCCGGCTGTTTCCATCTTCTCATCAGCTCCCCTTCCGTCACCCCGCGCCAGCCTGGGCCCGCACCTCTGCCCTCTGCATCCTCTCGTCCCCCGCTCCTCGGCATCCCCTGCCTGGAGCCCTCCCTCCCTGCTTCCTACCAGCCGGCTCCCTCCCCGCCCAGCTCGGCTCTGACTCACCACAGGGTCAGTTCCCCTCCTGCCAGCTCTCACCTCCCGCTTCCTGGGATTTTTAAAAATCACGTCTCATGCTAGACTGAGCCGTGAGAGCAGGTGCCCGTCTATCTGACCCCTTTGCACTCCCCCCGGGTTCCTGGCCTCCTGCCCGGCATGGACACGTGGCCCTGATTGGTCAATATCCGGTGGGTGAACGAGTAAATACGTGAATGAATGAGGTCAGTCATCAGAACAGCGGCCTCCTACACGGTGGGTCCGGCACTTGAAGTGGGTCTTTAACTCCAGGCTGCAGTGGCCGCGTCCCATGTCTGCGCCCGCCTGAATGTCCCCTCAGCTCCTGCCCCATCTGTCCACCCGCCTAAGCCATGTTCCTCCCGCACGGCCACCTCCGGGAGCCCTCCTCGGACCTGAAGCGACAGGAGGTCTGGGCCACTCTCAGCTGGGACAAAAGGGCCTGGCCCCGTTTTTGGGCCTTCCCCCGGCCGGGGGCCCCCCCAACCGGCTGCCCAATGGAGCCTGAAGGATGGACTTACACCGCAGCTTCTCGTCCCAGGGTCCCCCCTTGAGGTCACCGACAGCGCCTGGATGAACTCAGAGAACTCGATCCCTCCCTCCTGGCAGGAGAGAAAGGGCAGGTGGCCTCGGTCAGTCGGGCCACCTGGTCAGGCCAGACCTTGGGCAGGTGGTGGGGACGGCAGCGGCACCAGAGAGCGTGGCAGACAGACGCCACAAGGAGAGGGCGGGAGTGAAGGATGAGGGACAGAGCCAGGAAGGAAGGAGAAGGGAGGGGGTCGGATTAGAAATGGGACAGGTCGGGCGGGAGGGGCAGGAGGAAGGGGTGAGG